AGGGCAGGGCAGGGCAGGGCAGGCGGCGCGCGTGCACGACGTACGCGTCGAATAGTCCGAAAAATTGGCTCCTCACCCTTGCGCAGATGCAGCCTCCTTTTGCAGTTTTGTTTTGCTGCAAATTCGGATTCGTTTTTGTTTTGGAAACGTTCCGAAAAATCCGGTGCGTGCAAACGGCGTGGAGTCCGGATAAGTTACGCGCGACTTATCCGGTTCGGTTACGCGCAGTAGAGATCGTGCGGGCGCCCTGATCAAGCGACCCTTCTCTATATAAACCGACCCGCCGTCTTCACGCAGGATATGCGAAAATCAATCTAGGGTTTGCCTCCTACTCTGTACTGCGCCGTCGCTCGTAGACTACTCCATGCCGCTCGCCGGCGTGCACCAGCGATCGGGAGAGCAGGTCTCCGGAACCTCTGCCTTTGACGTCCTGCACCGGGAGAAGGCGGCAATAAGGTTTTTGGGAAGCGCTTCGCGCGACTGCTCCCTGTTCGTTCGCGATGGCTCGCCTTTCTCTTCGCTCGCGTGTTTCGTGCCTTCGTAGACACCTGCGAAAAGTTTCGACCAAGCAGCAGGTCTTTTCGTCACCTCGGTACGTGTTCAATATGTTGCGCATATTTGATCTGTTCATATTATTCTGCGTAGTTTACATGTGTAGATCTAATGATGCGTTCATGCTAGTTTTCATCTGTAATATCATGATTTATTTATAGAATAAATTAAATCATTATATGCCCATAATCTCAACACTTTCATCACCAAGCCAGAACCCTGATGCTGCCCCGAAGCAACCAGCATGCAGATGCCAACTTAATTATGGCTCACTATGTTTTGTTTTCTCTGCACCTTTTTCGTTCTAACAGCTAGCTAGCTACCCTATGTCCCTATCTATCGAATAGTAGCACCAATTTGATCAAGTACTAAGAAAAGAAATTCCACACCTGAGCAAGAGATAATTAAGATGTTATTATGATCCAAAATGTGCCAATATTGTTCTATAATATACTTTTGTTTTCGGATGTCGACATAGGGTCATGCACATCATGACCAATAATTACTGACCGATAGCAGTCGGGGAAGATCTACAGGCAAATTATCCGTCAATTTAACATTCTGACATAAACTAGCTTTCTTTCATCGACAAGCATTCTATGGGCAAAACTTAGGCAGCAATCTATCTATTAGCAACACGGGATGAAGATTATGCTTGGGCGTGGGTACGGGTGGATGTCGGGACAGCTCGGCTCGGTCTAGCTCGTTAGGATAACGAGCTAGCTCGGCTTAGCTCGTTAGGAAGCTAGCTCCACTAGTACAGATCCTTCTATCTGTGACGGGCTCTAATATGCTTAGAAATAGCGGGCCGTCACAAGGAAGTCATCTCAATCGGGCCGAAAAGTGCCCGATTGAGATATAGTCGTACAGACATGTTAGATGGGTATAAAACTTAAGACTGTCACGGATGACATCTATCAGTGACGGGCCGTAGTTTAGGTCCGATTGAGATAACATTCCATATCTCAAATAGGCCTAAAGTTGCGGGTCATCTGTGACGGGCACTAACTTTAGGCCCGATTGAGATAACATTCCACATCTCAAACAGGCCTCAAGTTGTGGCACGTCACAGATGACCATCATCCGTGACGGGCCACAACTTTAGGCCCGATTGAGATAACATTACATATCTCAAACGGGTCTCAAGTTATGGCATGTCACGGATGATGGAGTCACGGATGACCATTATCCGTGACGGACCACAACTTGAGACCCGTTTGAGATAACAACTAGGCCCGTCACAGATGACTCATCAGTGACGGGCTATATACTTAATCTTTATCGGGTATTAACTAAAGCCCGTCACCGATGACTATTTTTCTATTTTTCATATGAAATGTTTATATTTGTAAGTTGACTATAGCAAAATAATTAAGTACAGTATAATAATTCATTTTATGAGTCAAAATAATTTTATGGTAGTAAATGATTTCAAATGGAAAAAATATCAACAACAAAGTTATATAACTTATCAAGATTTATAACTTTTAGTTTGGTCATGTTTCTATATAACATTTTTTTGAACAGTTTGAATTTGAATTTGAAAATATGACAACTTCAAACAACATTTTCAAATACTAAATGATTTCAATTGAAAAAGTCATTAACAACAAAGTTGAATAACTCATCAAGATCTAAAACTTTTATTTTTGTTATTTCTTCATCCGACGAAATGTTAGTAATATTATTAACAAATTTTACATATATGTGTTATAGTTTATAAAACCAGATAAGAGATATGTCAATTTTGTGAACAGTGTTACTATCACTTTGTCGTATGAAGAAATGACCACAATAAAAGTTTTAGATCATGATAAGTTATTCAACTTTGTTGTTGATGACTTTTTCAGTTGATATCATTTAGTATTTGAAAATGTTGTTTGAAGTTGTCATATTTTCAAATTTAAATTCAAACGGTTCAAAAAATGTTATATAGAAAAATGACCAAAATAAAAGTTATAGATCTTGATGAGTTATACAACTTTGTTGTTGATGACTTTTTCAGTTGAAGTCGTTCACTGATCTAAAATTCTATTTGAACTTTTCAAAATTTGAATTTCAAATTTCAAATTGTTTAAATAGAGTCAGATGGATAAATGACCAAAATAAAAATTTTGCACCTCGATGAGTTATACAACTTTGGTTTTGGTGACTTTTCTATCTGAAATCATTTAATAATCCCAATTTGACATCCTGGCCTAGGGCTTAATAGGATTAATAGAATACTCATACCAACAAGTTACAACTACTTTTCTGGAAGCCAATCTCCAAAGAACTTTGATGTTATGACTGACCGGGAAGCGTGGGTGCACACTAAAAAATAAAATTTATTTATTAATTTCAGGATGGGTGACTGACCGGTAAGCGTGGGTGCACATGAGTGAGGGCAGGGCATTAACTATAGCCATTTCTGGATTATCCGCGTGGGTGCACACGAGTGAGGGCAGGGCTAGCCAAAAAATAAAATTTATTTATTTCTGGATTATACTTATCTGTGACGGGCATTAACTGGCTAGCCAAAAAATAAAATTTATTTATTTCTGGATTATACTCATCTGTGACGGGCATTAACTATAGCTATTTCTGGATTATCCGCGTGGGTGCACACGAGTGAGGGCAGGGCTAGCCAAAAAAATAAAATTTATTTATTTCTGGATTATACTCATCTATGACGGGTATTAACTGGCTGGCCAAAAAATAAAATTTATTTATTTCTGGATTATACTCATTTGTGACGGGCATTAATTATAGCCATAGTTAATGTCCGTCACAGATGAGTCATCTGTCTGTGACGGGCTATAGTTAATGCCCGTCACAGATAAGGGTCATCTATGACGGGCGCTAGTTGTGGCCCGATTGAGATAGGTCATCCGTGACGGGCTATAGTTGGACTGGTCGTCTGGGTCAAAGCTATCGGTGACGGGCTTTAATTAGGGCCCGATTGAGATAGATTCATCCGTGACAGCCGTTTACCCGATTGAGATAACTCTTCACATCTGTGACTACTAGCCTGTGACGGATGCCGTGCCCGATTGAGATGGTGTTTACCACCCGATTGAGATGATGGTATCCCTTCTAGTGCTTGTTATCCTAGCAAGCTATCGGCACGGCTCGTTGTCTAGCTTTAACCGGCTCGTTTGGCTCGTGAGCCAATGAAGTCATGAATAGTACTGGCAATAATCTGCAACTGATTAGCATTTCAAGTATAGCAGCATCATCCAACAAATGAACATATAAGGGATTTGAGCGACAATTTACAGACATGCAGGATCATCTGCATGAATCAATATATCATGCAAAATCTCAGAACAACAACAACAACCAAAAAAGAGAAGCACACAGTATCACAAACTCACAGTAGCTGCCATTCTATATTTCCAATCACGATAGAGAAAGCAGTACATAATATGCTACTGGATCTCATTTTCCTCCTCCATGGCGGATAAGGACACGCCGGCGAGCAGCGTGGACGTGGTGCGCGGTGCGCCATGGCCTTCGGCGACGGGATGGCCAAGGGCGTGGCGCTGTGGGGACGGGCGACGGCGCCGCAGCCCATGGGATGGTGGTGGGCTGCTGGCGGCGCTAGGGAGATTGAGATTGGGCGGCGGCGTGGTGATAGGAATGGTTACCATGGGTTATGGGCTAGATCGCAAATGGGCATTGTTAGGCTTCCTCTAGACTCCTCTGTGCTGTTGTTATTTCTTGGCTCATTTAGCTCGTGAGCGGCTCATGAGCCCGCTTGACCCCCTGCTCAGCACGCTAACAATTTTCAACGAGCTGAATCGAGCCGAACCGACCATGAATCGAGCGAGCTAATGAGCCACGAGCTTTCTATCCACCTCCATGCGTGGGAGAATCTGGAGAGCAAAGCGTAGAGAAACAAATGCCCTTTCCTGAACCTGCCGACACACGTATGGCTTCACTTCTTGCTGCCCCACTCAACTCCTCTACCGTCTCTTCATGTGCTATCTGCCTCTACCACCTCCCTCCTGCTTCGGCGAAATTTTCTACCAGCAAAGGTTTGTTTAAAGATCTGTGCACTGGTAAGAGTTTATCTGCCGGGAAGCTTAAATTTAGTGGCCAATTGGTCTGTCGAAAATGTCTTTTTCTGTTGGCAAAGAATTTTATTGACATGTTCTTTCCCACTCACTTGTTTCCTATTGAGAAAAGCCTTTACTGACAGGCCGAATGACATCATAAACACATAACCTTTGCCGACAATTGAGCTGTTGGTGCATTTAGGTCATGGTGCAGTGATGTAATGAAGTTTCCAGTCTAAGTCCACCAAACACACAAGTATCTTGGACCTCCAAATTTAACTTTTTCCTGTTTTCTCTTGTTGCTAATCCCCTGGTGGCCACTCGCCAAGAAAATATGTTCATTTGATGATGTATATATTGAGCTAATAACATTCTGAATTCTGATATTTTATATTTCAAAACATGCAGCACTTACATATGACAACAACGGGATGCCAATACAAGCTAATGGAAGAGTTCAAAAGATTGCTGATCCTTTTGATTATGGAGCAGGGTTTGTTAATCCGGTCATGGCAGCTGATCCAGGCCTTATCTACGACATCACCGCATCTGATTACCTCAAATTCTTCAACTGCATGGGAGGATTAGGCTCAGGGGACAATTGCACCACAGCGAAAGGATCACTTACTGACCTGAACCTCCCATCCATTGCCATCCCTAACCTCAGGACATTCCAAGCTATGACACGCACTGTCACCAATGTTGGCCAAGTTAATGCCGTGTATAAGGCATTCTTCCAAGCTCCAGCTGGTGTCGAGATGGCCGTCGAGCCACCAGTGCTGGTGTTCAACAAGAACAGAAGAGTGCAGAGCTTCAGGGTGACCTTCAAGGCTACACGAAAGGTGCAGGGTGACTACAGGTTTGGAAGCTTGGCGTGGCATGATGGAGGCAGCCACTGGGTTCGGATCCCCATCGCCGTTCGCATCGTGATTGAGGAGATCTACTCCAAGATCTCCTAATTAATTGGATATTGGATATATATGCTAGCTACTAATGATGCTAGTTGATCAATGGTCGAATGGAATAAATGAAGGCGAATTCATATGCTCCAATATATAGCATGTTATATGTGTTTCTGGAATCTTGCTGCATCTTATTCCAAATCCAAGTGGCGTATATCTGTTAAAATTTATGGTTGAATAATATATCTAATCTTGTGTTAGATGTTTGTGCTGAATAGGGGAATTACCATGTGATCAAAGGAATCATTAAAACTTGATTATTAATATGTACGGAAATAATCCCTGCAAAAAAAATATGTATGAAAATAAATAAAAAAGGGCATATATGTTTCGATACATTGTGTTTTCTCATTCTGAATTTTAGACTTTGATTCGAGGATTAGTTTTAAGGATTTTCTTAGCCACTTTCGTGATGGCTCTTTTTTTATGACCATTAATAAGTAAACAATCTATGTATAAATTAAATTTATTATTTATTAAAAGTCAAACTTTGAGAATTCAGAGTTGCTTTGGATTATAATACTCCAATACTGTGCCAGGGTTATAATAGCCCATGTAGGTAACCCACAGTCCAACCAATGGGACATCTCCTATTTGCCATGGCTCAATTTGGAGGACACCACAATCAATTGATCGAAGGGTCCTTAATCCCTTATTTGTTATGTCATCAAGATTGACAGTCTACCCTAAAGAGGCAGAAATCTGCATGTGAATTAGTACTACCACAGGCTGGGAGTACTGTTATTTTTGCCCATTTTGTTGGAAGCGAATGTATGTCCTACAATTACAGGCTTATCATGTGTGATGCCTGCCATGTGCAGGCTTATCATGTGCGATGGTTGCCATGCTTGGATAGATTGTACCTCTCTTTGGCATATATGGGTGGACCTGATTTAATTATGGACGTAACTACTACACAGCTAGTGGTAGCTGTTTTGTCTAAACCAGCTACCACTCCATCTATAAGAGGCACCATCCACCTATACTTCAAATACAATTTTCTCTTAAACTACTCATCCGATCTACGATCCGATTGCACCGTTGTGTTCGTAACAATTAAATCTTTAGAACAAGATCTCACATGATTATATTTTGATGAAAAATCATAAATTACTTTTATGATATGTCTAAATTACTTTTAGTTTTCACTAAGTTACTTCTTAGATATATAAAAGTAAATTTAGTAAAACCTAAAAGTAATTTACATATATTATAGAAGTAACTTAGAACAAAACCAAGGTAACTTTGGCATGTCATTTGAAGTAAATCCATTGTAGAGATAAAAACATGACTCTATCTATAAATTAAATTAATCAGTATAAATTATGGAATTAACTAAAATAATAATAAAAGTAATCACCTTAGAGCATTATGAATTTTCAATGAAAAAAATGCATTAATTAAAGTTACTTTCTTTTTTTTTGTTATAAGTTACTTCTATTTTATATGTAAATTACTTTTAGGCTTTACTGAATTTACTTTTATATGTCTAAGAAGTAACTTAGTGAAATCTAAAAGTAATTTAGACATATCATAAAAGTAATCTGTGATTTTTCATCAAAATATAATCATGTGAGATCTTGTTGTAAAGATTTAATTATTACGAACACAACGGTGTAATCGGATTGTAAATCGGATGAGTAATTTAAGAGAATTTTTTTTTGAAGCATAGATGATAGAATATTTCCCCTACTTGCTCAATGGAGTAAGTACTAGCACGTGGGTGTCTCTGGTTAAGACTAATTGGAGAGGCCTCTCCAATTAGATTTACCGTTTAATTATGTTACCTTCCAACTTTACTTTTTTTTTCTCTCCACGTTGTTGCCTTCCATCGAAGGTCCTTACCTACACAAGGAGAGGTCTCTGCAAGTTTGGATTATTAAAATACTCATGTGCCTCCTTTTCTTGGAGATTTAATTATGGATATTTTTTTTAATAATGGAATTTATTTTGGCTTTTGTTTCAAAGAAGCACATAACAAGATGAGATGACTGTAATAACCAATTATTACAGAGATTGCAAGTGAGATGACTGTGAAGTACATAACAAGAAAACTTCTTAAACTACCAGCCTAAAGACATTCATCCATAGTTGGCAAGAATATACATAACCGTTAGTTTATCTCAGCGACTTGCAAATTTTATGTAGTAATTGTCTTTCTCAAATCAGGAAACAAAATCTTCGAAATAACAGCCGATCATTAGTTATGCTGATTAAATTTCTCTCACATCACCGCTGATGAGAACCACAACAAAAGAAATATCAGAGAGTAAATTAGTCATTCTCCCAAATCTTGCCACCGCCATAACAATTGAAACCGATCCAGCGGGACAACGGCACCAAGAATGCCGCACCAATGGGGGACCTCTAATACAATGCCTCCAAGGTCAATAACATCTAGGAGTCCCCATAGTTATTCCAAACATCGGGAATTAGGTCTTTTCTTTTCCACATAGAGGGTGAGGCCCATGCTGCTGCCTCTTAATTTGTCCATCTGTCCTAAAATATAACAACTATCAATCAAGATTCATCCCAAAATATATCACCTTCTTCATTAACATTCTCTTCCCAACCAATCACAATTCTTCACTATTCAATTTTTCCACCTACCTCTACTTCTAAACTAATCACAACCTTCCCCATTTAATTCTACCTACTTCATTATTATTCATGTCCAATCTTAAAGATGCTTATATTCTAGGACGGAGGTAGTACCTGATATGGAGGGCTAGTACTAGGTAGCATATCTATGGGCCAATAATTAATATCTTAGTCTGGAATTAGGAGTTATACTCCTACTTTGCGTATGACATTTTAGATATAAATAGAAAGGGAGGTTATGCCTTGAGGGTAAGGCAACATTACTGAAGAAGTGATCTTTGATGGGTCGGGCGATTTCCACAATAGTCCCGTTTCCAAAAGAACCAGGACTAAAGAGATTCTTTAGTCCCGGTTTATTACTCCAACGGGACTAAGGGATCTTTAGTCCAAGTTTGTAACACGAACCGGGAATAAAGATCATCTTTAGTCCCGGTTCGCCCTCTAACAGGGCATGTCACACCCCTGTCGGGGGGCTAGGGAACTTTAGTCCCAGTTGGTAACAACAACCGGGACTAAAGATCTTACCAACTGGGACTAAAGATCTGCAATGTCTTTAGTCCCGGTTGTTGGTAACTTACCAACCGAGACTAAAGTTTGGCAACTTTATATACCCCTTCTTCCTCCTCTAGCCCGAGCCATTGCTACAAAATGAAGCTTTGAGGGAGGGAGGTGCTGCCAAAATTTTTAGCGATTTTTTTTGGTGTTAATATACAAATTTGAGGTCTCTAAAAGGTTACCAACCGGGACTAAAGATGTAGCTTTACTCCTGGGTATTTGAACCGGGACTAAAGACCGCCATCTTTAGTCCTGGATTCTCCCTCCCGGTTCGCTACCCAGGAGTAAAGGGGGTTGCGAACTGGGAGAGATGAGCAGTTCTCCAGTAGTGCAAGTTATAGCTATTTGTATTAGAGTTTCGTGAGAAACTTGTGAGAGGAGTGCTATTATTGTACTTTGTAAATATAAATAGAAGCAATAAAGTTCAACATACTTTCAAGGGTACTTCGATTTGTGTTTAGTCAGGACCGGCGGTCATACCGGCAGCACCACTATGCTTAGACCGGCGACACAAAAAGCGGATAGACCAGCACAAGACCTACAGTCAAACTAATCTCCATCGAATTCGAGGGTAACTTTTAATTCCGCTAAAAAGTTTTGTTTTTTGGTGTTCCAACCATTCACCCCTCTAGTCAGCTTAGTTCTTACTGTTCGATCCTACAATTGGGAGTGCTAGGACTCCTCTCACCTCAGGCTTGAGGTAGGGTTTGGCGCCAGGGTGCATGAGGGCTCATAGTCCTTATGCAAGGGTAACCGAAAAATCAGACTGTGACAAGTCTTATGTGTTGGGTGCGGCACATAGTGCGGGCTTCAAATGAATCTATTCGAACAGCCGTGCTCGTGGTTAATTGAGCGCCTGGACTTGTACTATTATTGATTTGCCTCATAAGTTCTAATCTTGCTTACAATAGGATTGGGAGGAAATGTGTGACCTTGCCCAACGTGCGGGAAGGTCGGAATGGTGGGAAATGCTTAAAACCGAATGATAGGGTAAACCGGACCAAGCGAGACTTGGGGAAGATGGATGAAACCTCTTTGATTAACAACAACTTCAACTTAACGTTGTTTTTAGTTAAAACTGCTAAGTCATAAGTTCATGAACTGAATTATGAAATCTAGCTTTTATGCAAATAAGCCGAGCCATCCTTGAACCCATGTGTGCACTAAATGCATCCTGGAGTAGTGACTTACTAAGTACGGTTGGTACCTACCCTTGCTTACTTAACTCTTTTAGTAGAAGATATTGGAGTCGATTCGCACGTTTGCTATGTTGATGAGGAGGTGTCAAAGACGGTTGAGTAGGGACCTAGGTTCTCCAGTCGTTGCATGTGGAATAAGATGGACTGCCGTTGCTTCGCTTCCGCTACTTCTTTTGGTATTTGGTAATGTAATTGACCATACTTGGTCTATTTGGGTCCCACTCGGGCAACCCTTGTATTATTGATGTATTGTAAAACCTTTATAACGATGTCAGCTATGTGATATGTAACTTTGCCATGTGCATACCATCAACCGATTTAGGGAATGGTACTGTAAACACACGAGGTTTTCGGTGTACAAAACTGGGGCCGACACGCTGTCGCTCCAGCTCATCGACGAGACGCTGCCGCTGCCCACTCCTCCTCGGAGCCACCACCGACATCCCTCCTCGTCGCCGAGACACCGCTCCCGCCCCTGTTCCTTGGAGTCGCTGCTCCTCTGCTTGGAGCCGCCAACGCGTGAGAGAGAGAGAGAGGAGGAGGGGGAGGGGGAGGGAAATGGGTGGAGGAGGAGAGGATAAGGATCGGAGGATAAGGATGGGACTTAGATGTTTAGTTTAGGCTGATCCACAGGCATGATTTCATAGGCAGCTTTGCAGGCGGACCACTTAAATCCTCCGCCTATGATAATTTATATATTTTCGTAGACGGATGTCTTAAGCAGTCCGTCTGTGAAGATTTATTTTGGCAGACGGATGATCATCCCATCCCTCACTTAGGACAATGGATGCTGTCATTTGGGGGTAAAATTTCGGTCTTCCTGTAAAATGACATGGGTCTCGTCAACGAAAATCATTTTTCTAGTAGTGGTGATTGGTCACTTGCATGAGTTCCTGGTTTGCATGGTCGAAAACTTTTATCTTATGCTATTGTAGCCTACCACCAGTTACCATATAAATTTCTGCATTCAGTTCTGCGGGGTGCCAACCCTAGTAATCTATATCTAGTCCATTATTGCTTTGCTTCTTCCTTTTTTATCTTGATTTGGTGGTCCAGAAATCTGGATTATGTAGATGGAGGGCTGCTATAATTCTTGCAACCCGTGACAAATCATTCAACAGGTATGTGCGCGTCAACGTTCACAGCATTAACAAAGTAGCGATTTACTGAGATGTCTAAACTAGAAACAAACCTATGACAATTCAACACGATGTAGCTAATCTTTCCCCAGAAAGCTAGTAAAAGCATTGTTTTTCATAGCCTGGAGAACATTGAAATTGATCGACCTTGTGCTGTGACGACGTCAATTTGAAAGATTATACGACGACGTCAAATCTCCGACCGAAAACAGGAGGAGAGGGGTAAATGGATGATCGACCTGCCCGTCAAAAAGTTAATAGTTTTCTGGGTCCTGTCATATATATTGCTGAATGACACACACACATATAAACAAAACCTACATCAGCAATTGAGGTTGAGGTAGATTCATTAATTAATTACTACTACTACTACCTAATACTTAAAAAATTCACTTGCCTTTGATCACGTTGCTGTATTATAATCAGGTAGATTCAACGGAGAGTGACAGGATTTCTTCAAGTTTTGCGAAGACAACCAAAAAGTTCAATTGAACACTGTACGACAGATGTGATACATATGATCGATCGACGAATGAGGCGATACGATGGAAGAAAATTGTAGTATTCAATTAAACTCTGTCGACGATTGACAAGTTGAGCTGTTAGTAGCTAGTAAATAACCCGCGGCAGATAACACCGAAAACGTGCATGGTTTTTCCTGGATCTCTTCTATCGATGGATGTATAAATAGCTCCTACCTTGGCAAGCTCTAACTATCATATCGCAGTTCATTTCACAAACGGTATATGAAACCATAGTTCATTTCAATCCTTCCATATGGCTCAAGCTGGTGTACATAGAGGAGGCTGTTGCCGACTCCTCTTCCTCCTTGTTACTGCTCTTTTGTTGCGAAGATCCTGTGTTGTTGGACAGCAAAGCCAATCCAAGAAAGTATACTGGTTTTATTATAAGTGAAATGTACTTTTCTGTAATTTTGACCCCATATATATTTTTTAAAAAATGCCGTAACATCTTGAAAAAAAGGTAATTTCATTGAATCAATGTTTTCCACTGGAGTTTTCTTTATTGCCCATTAAGAAGTTATCGGAGGCACTATTAGAACTAGGATGGTAAAAATGTCAATTTCATATTATAAGTCGTTTTGGATTTCTTATGTCAAATTTTTTGACCAAATATAGTAACATTTATAGCATTAAATTAGTTTTTATTAAATCTAACATTGGATGGTTTTTTTTTGTTTTATGTTGAAAATATTGTTATACTTTTTTGTTTATAAATTTGGTCAAAACTAAATAAGTTTGACTTCAAAAAAGTTAATAATATGAAATGGAGGTAGTAGTCTATGTGCCTCTCGGTATCTAACTATAAAAATGCTCCCATATATACCATTGAGTCAATATATAGCTAAGACGTGTGCTGGTGGTAACTACTACTCTCTCCATTTTTAATGTATGACGATGCTAATTTGTTGAGATATGTTTGATCATTCGTCGTATTTAAAAAATATTTAATTATTATTTATTTTATTGTGATTTGGTTTATAAATGTTCTTTAAGCATGATTTAAATATTTTTATATTTGCACAAAAAATTTGAATAGGACAAATGATCAAACGTTGATAAAAAATAAACATCGTTATACATTAATAAAATGGAGTTAGTATATGTGTATGGAGAGGTGTATGCATGGCTGATTGACAAACTATACAATATTTGAAGATTTACATTGTCTACCTTGGGGAGAGACGACACGATGATGCTGATGTCGTCACTGGTTCCCACCATGACATGCTCGCCTCTGTTTTGGGAAGGTAAGAATGCACATCGTTACTCTGTCCATTTACAAATATTAGTCGTACTACCTAACAACACATCGAGAGTTGGATCACTATCTGCTCACTGAAAGTGTGATGGATCTAAGTACAAATTTTATGTATTGCAAAATGTGATATGGAATGATATTTTTTAAAAAAATATATATAGTAGTCAAAAGTGACAATGTTTGTTTACGATTAAAAATGGAGAACCTTATATGCAACCGAGCAAACGAACGTTATGAAAGATACAAATATGTCCGTATATTATTAAGAAAATACAAAATCAAAATGATGCCCTTGATAATATAAAACCTTAAAATGAAAGGGTACACAAATACAACAACTGGTAGGCAAAGAAAGGAAAACAACGTTGCTTTAATGGAAACATGCATGGACTCTGAAGTAGCGGGAATAAAATTAGATTGAAAAGGGCAAATGAGTGCATAATTAGTAAATTTGTGTATATGCGTGTGCGTTTTCCTGTGAGGAAGAAAAATAGCCACACAAATCTTTTTAGCAAGTAATATGTGCAGAAGAACTGCATGCTAATGCGTCTATATGTTGATTGACAAACAAACTGTAGAGTAAGATTTGAGATATCGTCACTAACAATATTACTACGTGCATATCTACGGTGAACTAAAAATTATTTCGAGTATTATTAAAATAAAATATGGTTGCATCTTTGAAGCAAGGAGGTGGCTCTTGAGTCCATCGTGTACAGCTACAGACATAGTTTTTCTGGCTTTGCTGCAAGGCTCACAGAAGCACAAGCGAGCACGATACGAGGTAATTAATTAATCATTTTCTTTACCGATAAAAAATTAAGAGGACACATATATATTCTAAAATTAATTGGGGCACCATGAATCATACTCCCTCCGTCCCCTAATATAAGGGATTTTGACATTTTGCTTGCACTGTTTGACCATTTATCTTATTCAAAAAATTTTGAAATTATTATTTATTTTATTTGAGATTTACTTTATTATCCAAAGTACTTTAAGTATATATTTTTGTTTTTTATATTTAAATAATTTTTTTAATAAGACGAGTGATTAGGGGACGGAGGTAGTGTGTGTATGTATGTATGTGTATATTCTGACAATTTTAATTATATGTAACATTCTAGGGATGACAGCATGTGATCAGCGTGAGAGAGCACCAAATCCACCGGTTGCATACGAGTCGAAGCTGGGATGTACTTGTAATGACTACAGACAGCCAAATGGCCTGCTAGCCAAAGCTAAATATGGGGAAGATATTATTATTGGGGTTATCGACACAGGTAAGTAAAACACTAGCTACATGCATATATAACCTGTTCAAATATTGTACCACGTGCAACGTACCAGATCTATACTACGTACCTGCAACCAGATATTCCCTATGATAAAGCTACTCATAATATAGGACAATATATATTTTGGTCAAATTTTTATAACTTTAATGATTAATAATTCTCAAGTGTTTAGTTTAAAAGTAAGAAAGATATTATGCATAGATTTGCATTGAATAGAACTGGGGCGGAACTTCAAAATTTACAATAATAACAGACTAATTTTAAAAGCAGCCCTACACTAATTAATACTTTAAGTTTCTTATTCCAGCTCTGTCATTCATTATATAGTAGTACTACTACATTAACATCGTAAATTATGATAAGTTTAGTTATGGGTGAATAGCTAATTTAGTCCATTAAGTTTTACCAAAGGCTCAATTTGGTCTTTCACGTTTTATTTTGTCCACATAGCTCCTCCAAATATTTGTTTTGGCTTAAAATCATCCTTGGACCCACTTAATATGCCATATGGCTATTTCTAGTCAGTATTTCTATTAAAAAGTCCTTTTTGCCCTTAATTTGTATACAACTATATACTAGACAAGAGTAAGTCAACATGAATAAACAACGTTACAGATGTACTTCCTATTATTTCAAGATGTGCACATGGAACTTAAGCAATTGCTATCGTATACACTTGCTAGTATATAATTATTTTCATTTTACATAATATACTATGTATTATCTATAAAAAATTGAAGCATGCAATTTTTCTCTTATATATGCGAATGATGAGGGGTATAAGTGTCATTTATGAAGAGAGTTGTTGGTTCAAGGATAAGTTTGAACTAAAATGAAAACTTAAAGGACTAATATGGATAGATTAAAACATTAAGGACTAAACTGAGCCTTAGATGAAACTTGAAGGACCACTTTGGCTATTCACCCTTAGAATACATTGATGATAATGTTTGAGCATATTTTAGATTAGGGACAATTGTTTATTTGACCCCGTTTTGAATCCTAACTACTAATTTGACCCTACTTTTTAGAGTTTGCTTATTTGACCGTCCTTTTCAAAAAGAAGCTTCCGTATAACCCTGATCTGTTAAGGGCATTTAACGTTGTTAACTGAAGCACAAAATATCTCTTCTGTTCTTACTCATTTGACCCTATTACATATGGGACCCACCCGTCAGTTCTCTCTTCTTCTCTCCTCTCTTTTCTTCTCCTCTCCTCTCTTTCACGGATCAGCGGCGAACCGGCACCGATGGGGCGGCGGCTTGCCGCGGCGGCGGCGCTCTGAGGGGGCGGAGGGAGGGAGCGGCGCCGGCGGCGGCTGACGGAGGGGGCGAGTTGCGGCGGCGGCGCACTGAGGGGGCGAGCAGCCGCGCCGACTCGTGGAGGGAGGGAGGTGCGGCCGCGGCGCAGGCGAGTGGAAGGAGGGAGGAGGCGGCGGTGCCGGCGCCGGCGCAAGCGCGCGGAAGGAGGGAGGAGGCGGCGGCGGCGGCGGCGCCAGATCCGCTGACGGCAGCTCGAGCCCCACCGCCCGGACTCACCGCCGCCACTCCTCGTCGTCGTCATCGTCACCAGGGCCGGCTCAGCCTCGCCGTCTCGCTGCCTCTCCTGTGGTGGATCTGTGGAGGAGAGGAGAAGAACTCGCCGCCGCCACTGCTCGTCGTCGTCGTCGTCACCAGGGCCGGCGCCGGCTCGCCGTCTCGCCGCCTCTCCTGTGGTGGATCCGTGGAGGAGAGAAGAACTTGTCGTCGCCACTCCTCGTCGTCGTCGTCGTTACCAGGGCCGGCACCGGCTCACTGTCTCCGCCGCCCCATCAGCGCAGCCGCCGCAAGTCGCCGCGGTCGCCACAAGGAGAGAGAGAGAAATGTGGATATAGTTGGGTGGATGGATAGGGTTTCCTAAGGGTATTATGGGTATTATGAATATTAGTTGTATTTCTTTTTTATTTTAGATCAAAACTTAACGGACTAGTGGAAACAGGGTCGGATGGGAGCTTCGTTTTTGAAAAGGAGGGGTCAAATAAGCAAACTCTAAACAGTAGGGTCAAATTGGTAGTTAGGGTTTAAAATGGGGTCAAATAAGCAATTGCCCATTTAGATTAAATGCATATTTATGACTGAAGGGAGTAATATTTATCTTGTGGCTACGTACACTTTTAGTAGCCACGTTACGCAAACACACATAGGCCCTAGTATAAAGTTACAGAGGATATAAAATTTATTCTCAATCCATATGTACTAGTTTATATCGTGAGTCTCTGTCTATTACTTTCTAGGTGAACTGGACAGGCAACCAAATGGCTTGCTCGCCAAAGCTTAATATGGGGATGATATTATTATAAGTCAATTACGACCACTAGAACGGTCATTCAAGTGATATTCTTATAAAATTGAAAAAACCAGTGGCAAATTCGCAAGTTCCCATGTTGTTATTGGTGTTATTGACAGAGGTAATAAGTAGTTAAGGTCTAAAACAGTACCACGTGCAACCAGAGACTCCCTACCGTAAAATATAGGACAACATATATTTTAGTCAAAATTTTATAATTCTAACCATTAATAATTCTTAAATGCTTATTTTAAAAATAAAAAGAAATAATATGCATAGATTTGCCTTGTATACTACTGGGCTGAAATTCTTGGAGAGTTGGAGGGTTAGCCCTCTCGAGGTTTTCAAAATTTTTGTGCAATAACAAAGTAATAATCTTAAAACAACCATACACTCATTAATACTCCTAGTTTTTCTTCGAGCTCCATCATTGAATTGTACAATAACATGGTAAACTTGGTCCATAAGCTGTGTGTACGTATATTTAGTACCACCTTACTAGTTCAACATATAGGATCGCACAAGATCAAACAAACCTATGAATGGTAGGAAAAACAAAAAACCCAAAAATCTTTTGTGGAATTAAAGATTAACCTTGAACAGAGTAGATGATGAAGCCTTGTCACTGCCGGTCGAACCGCCCGAACACCTACGGTCAGACCGCTGCTATCCCATCGGTCAGACCGCACGCACACCTGCGGTTAGACCGTCGGGACCCAGAAACACCGGTAGATGACAATCTCGAATATGTAGATTAGAACTTTTGACTTTATTGCATCAACTAGTGTTTACAAAGTGCACCAACAACACTCCTCACCAAAATCTCGAACTAAACTCGAAACCCTAACTTTCTCTCAACTCAAGTCTCTCTAAAATCGATATCGGGAGGCCTCACCCTCCCTCTCATTTTATACATGAGGTAGGCTGTGCAAAGCCCACGAATCTAACACAATTTAGGACTCCTAACCATGTAGGAAACTCTCTCTTGCAAGTATCCAACTCATCTCTTTCCTTATCTCAGTCAATCTTCCCGAATCCGGATTCCCTTCCAAATTCGACTCCTCTTTCCATACGTACACAATCCCTCTTGTATACCATATGAATTTCTTCATCACCACGTGTATTGTGATGAAAATATGAACAAATGGTTTGTGGTTCATAAGAGTTGTTCATACGAATTTCTTCATCACCACCTTCACAAATCCCTCATTTGTGTAGTTTATAAGAGTTGTTCGCACATGTTTAGTGCCACGTTACTAGTTTAATTAGCAAGAGTGAAACCAATTTATAAGATCTTGTCCCTCCAACTATATCACTCCCGAGTTAACCATTTTACAGAAAACAAGGAAAAAAGTGTAAGTGATGTGGTATGTATAAATAGATCCGCCCATTGGATGGACTGGGGCATGGCATAGGTAGACTCGGTGTGAGGCACATGGCACGGATGATTTGTCCTGTATGGCACATAAGAGTTGTGTGCACATGTTTAGTACCACATTGCTAGTTTAGTAAGGGTGGAACCAATTTATAAGATCTTGTCCTTCTAACTATACCACTTCCGGGTTAACCATTTTGCTTGAAGCGACTCCCGGGTTCACCATCTTATACGGAGCGTGGACGTAAATGTAAGTGAAATGGTATGTATAAGTGGGTCCTCCCGTAGGATGGATTGAGCTATGTGGTTCTGGAGTGCAAGCTATTACAACTGATTATCTAGTTTTAGCAAGTTTTATCTTAAATAATATTTATGTCTGAAGGGAGTAATTATATATATGTTGGATCTTGGATGGTTGAGTTGTCAGTTCTGACTCCATTCATTGTGTGGCTACAATTTTCGTACTCACTTTATGCAAACACAAATGGGTCCTAGTATAAAGTTAGAAGGTTAATAGATTTATCCACAAACCATATGTATTAGGGTATTATATCGATAGTCTATATCATTTTTATTACAGAGGACTCAATAGAAAAAACAGTAGTGGTGAAGTATAAGTAATTCCCAGCTCTACATCATCACCTTAATATTGCTTTTTCGTGAATTGGTTAGCATAAATAATTTAATAATTGTTTGTTATAAAATATCATTTAGATTTTCAATTATTTGCTATTATCATGTAGGTATCACACCTGAGTCACCAAGCTTCGCTGATGATGGATATGGACCCCCTCCATCCAAATGGAAAGGAGTTTGCCAAGTCGGCCCTTCGTTCAAAGCAAAAAGCTGCAACCGAAAACTTATCGGTGCACGGTGGTACATCGATGATGATACTTTAAGAAGCATGAGCAAGGATGAAATCCTATCTCCCAGGGATGTGGTTGGCCATGGAACACACACGGCTTCGACGGCCGGTGGTAACATCATCCACAATGCTAGCATTCTTGGGCTAGCAGCTGGGACAGTTCGGGGTGGCGCGCCCCGTGCACGAGTAGCCATGTACAAGACATGTTGGAATGGTGTTGGCTGCTCCGCCGCCGGTCAGTTGAAGGCCATAGATGACGCTATCCACGATGGCGTTGATATATTATCACTTTCTCTTGGTGGCCCTTTTGAAGATCCAGGCACCTTGCACGTTGTTGCTAAGGGTATCCCTGTTGTATACTCTGCTGGGAATGATGGACCCATTGCTCAGACAGTGGAGAACTCATCACCGTGGCTGCTTACAGTTGCTGCGGCCACTATGGATCGGTCATTCCCTGTGGTTATCACATTGGGAAATAATGACAAGTTTGTGGTATATATATTTATTTACTGTGAAGTTTTCTATTTATAACACAATCTATTATGTGTTTAGTTTATTCGTTCCGACTTAAATTGATCGTTACCCGTGTGGTTATGCTTGCAGGCACAGTCCTTTGCCATTTCAGGGAAAACTTCAAGTCAGTTCGGTGAGATACAATTTTACGAGCGTGAGGAGTAAGTGTGGGAAATCAAATATCTAAAACTGATGGTAATTAATTCATGTTTTGCTTGATAGCTAGCAAGGTAATTAACATAATTAATTCCTGCAGCTGCAGTGCTGAGAATATCCACAACACAGTGAAGGGGAAGATCGTCTTCTGCTTCTTTGGAACGAAGTTCGATTCGGAGCGAGATTACTATAACATCACCAAGGCAACGAGTGAGAAAGGAGGAATAGGGGTGATCTTGCCTAAGTACAACACCGACACACTACTGGGGGACACCCTCCTCACTTTGCCTATTCCCTTGGTCGCAGTTGATTATGAGATCACCTACAGGATATACCAATATATCAAGTAGGTAACTTATTTATGAGCAGTTTATTGTACATACACATATATTATATCACTGTGAATGTCCATTTGAAAAGAGGTACTAATACCCATTTCTTTCCTTTAATCCGATGAATTGTATCTAGTTATAATATCAGCTCAACTACTATTAGTAATTTATTTTTTCTACTGATAGCTAGTGTGATTATGCTAAATTAGTGGTTGAGATTACCTTTGTATGATAATACTAGTAGTAGAATACTACAGCAGACAACACCAGAAAGATCCTCTTCCAAAATTAGAGAAAGAAACTTCTGATATTATTTTGCTCATTAAATTGATTATATCACCTTCTTCCAACTATATATTAGTTTAGTTTGTCACCTCAACAATTAATTTCCTTTACTTCCATCCATGCTCTAATTAACAGAGAAAACGATGGCACCCCAAAAGTGAAGATATCATTAACCCAAACAACTATTGGAAAAGTTTCTGCTCCCAAAGTAGCAGCTTTCTCGTCGAGGGGGCCCAGTTATATTTATCCTGGGGTTCTCAAGGTAAAGATTTTACCTTGACCGACAACAAGAGGTTCTACGTTCAAATTAAGACACATAAATGCATACTTGTTTTTCATGAATATCAAAATTGTCTGAATCATATACATTATGTTCATTTATAGCTAGCAATATTTAAGTTAGGAGAGAAGGCAAAATAATACAAAGGTGTAACATAGGCACCACATATCTTTGCTTATCAAAATAACTTTCTAAATTCTAACAGCATTATATTATCTTGAAAAGGCTGGCTGCAGCAAGATCACTATTTGTAGTTCAGCTCAATTAATTAAAATATAAATAATGTAAAATAAGCTACAATTTTATTGCTCTTAGCAGCTATAATATATTTGCTAGGAATTGAATAAATAACGTAGTGTAGGTATCATAATCAGAACTATTATTTGTTATTTTGACCAAGTTGATTCTATCAATGTTTTATATGTTTTCCCACTAGTCAACTTAGCATTCCGTTATCATAACATGTCGTGATGTTCTCTCATATTGCAGCCCGACATTGCTGCACCAGGTGTTACGGTTTTGGCAGCTGCACCAAAGGCTTTTATGGATGCAGGAATCCCGTACCGTTTCGACTCTGGAACATCTATGTCTTGCCCCCATGTGAGTGGGATCATTGCGGTACTCAAGTCTTTGCATCCTCAATGGTCACCAGCTGCCCTCAAGTCTGCAATCATGACTACAGGTAACTATTTTTCTTTTCATAGAAAGTAGGTTAAAACAAGTTTTACGATTATACTTTGTTTCATATGAACCTTATTAATTATGGGCATTATTTATTTTTGATGGGGTGGGGAACTTAATTTCATTGATATCAATACTAGAAAAAAAAAGCACATTTAGACTGCATTAACTTCATTACTGGTGAACTTTCCTAACCAAGCCTGAAGATGCTATCCAAGAGAGACCAACACATGCTAACGAGTTCACCACTAAGTTTTGCTCTCTAATTTCTTTTTGCATTCGAACAGGCCACCCGTCAAGCAAATATCTGTATTTGATGTATAGATTGAGTTAGTAACGTTCTGATCAATATTACATTTCTTCACAAGCAGCACTTACCTATGACAATAACGGGATGCCGATACAAGCTAATGGAAAAGTTCCAAAGATTGCCGATCCTTTCGATTATGGAGCAGGGGTTGTTAATCCAAACATGGCAGCTGATCCAGGCCTCATATACGACATCGAACCATCAGATTACTTCAAGTTCTTCAACTGCATGGGAGGATTAGGCTCAGCGGACAATTGCACCACAGTGAAAGGATCACTTGCTGATTTGAACCTCCCGTCCATCGCCATCCCCAACCTCAGGACATTCCAGGCCACAACGCGCACCGTCACCAATGTTGGCCAGGCCAATGCCAGGTACAAGGCGTTCCTCTACACCCCTGCCGGTGTCGAGATGACCGTCGATCCGCCAGTGCTAGTGTTCAGCAAAGAGAAGAAGGTGCAAAGTTTCAAGGTGACCATCAAGGCGACGGGGAGGCCAATTCAGGGGGACTATAGCTTTGGAAGCTTGGTGTGGCACGATGGCGGCATACACTGGGTTCGGATCCCAATTGCAGTTCGCATCGTGATTGAAGAGATCTACTCCAAGATCTCCTAACTTGATTGAGATATGCTACTGCTACATATGACAATGCTAGTTGATTAATGATCGACTTGTACTGTATACATAAAGGATGAACCCATATGCTTTGGATGTACTACCATGTTATATGTATATGGAATGTAGCCCCAGGAAGTATTTCTTATGTAAAATTATGTTAGATGTTTGTTATGAATAACAGGGTTTCGACTTGTGACTAAAGACATGGCGACAACTTATTATTTATATGTATGAGAAATATTAATAAAATATAAAAAAAATCATAAATGGCAATCTGCCCTATTGTTCTGTGCTGAATTTGGATATTTTTTATAATATAACTATTACTTTCGCTGCCTACACCATGTAGGATGTTTTTTTTAAATAATTTGAGTTATTTTATTGCTACGTATGGGTATATATGAATCAAATTGTTACACCTAGGTATATAACTAGAGGTTGAAAATTTTCAAAAATTTGAGTGTGATTAGTTATTATCAAACCATGAAGTCTAGTCTCCATGAAGGGCCACGTGGCTGTTTTATATATAAATAATAAATATAGCAATAATAGTAATTGTTCTTGTAAAGTATGGCCAGAGGCGGAGAAGGAAGAAAATATTTTTGTTCAAGGTTAAGGCAAGAACATGAGAGACCATAGGAGAAAGATTGAATCCAAGAGCAAACACTTGCAACTTCGTTCGGGGCAAGGAGAGCAATGGATAGGGGGGGGGGGGATAATATCAAAGAAATAGTGAAGGGGAAGATTGTCTTCTGCTTTGTTGGAAAGGATTTCAATCACTTTCGATGTTAGAAATGGCCTTAACGAAAGTCATCTTGCCATAGCTGATCGATTGCTCCAAGATGACCCCATCATAACTGCTCTGGATATTTTCATTGTCCCTATTAACTATGAGATCGCCCAAAAGATTGTCAAATACACCAATTATTATTATTATTGTTGTCGTCGTCGTCGTCGTCATCATCATCATCAAGTTTTATGCAAGTATCCACACATCAAGTTTTTATGTCCACCGCCACCACCAAACTACCATGAGAGACATGTATCGTCTACACCAAATGTGGGTGTGTCTTATCACACATCTACACCAGAGATTAAGGCTCCTGTAGCGTGGCAACACACTTTGACCACTCCATGTGTTGAGGACTTGATACTGGATTGGCATGTTCTGTTGTAACGACCACAACTAATATGTATATTATATTTAGTTCACCAACTATACATATATGTTGGAGTCTTGGCCTTACACACACACACGCACACTATTCTAGCTATTCAGTTTTCACACTCCAAAAGTTGCCTTTCGTTACTTGCAACCCACATCTTACCAACCCTTTTTTCCAACACAACAACAGTGAAAGTGGTAGTTACGTCCCAAAAGCGAAGATATCCTTAACCCAATCTACAATTGAAGGTGAAATTTCTGCTCCAAAAGTCACAGCTTTCTCATTGTGGGGGTGTAGTTCTATTTATCCTGGTGTTGTCAAGGTAAGGTCAATTTTGCTATGATATGTACTATTTTTTTTCATATGGAAATTTTAAGCCATTATGGTATGAGAGCTTTTAGAGCAACCTACATTTAGTATAAAGAAAGAAAAAAAGACAGATTTTGAACAATCTTCAACTAGTTGATTTCAATCATTTATTGTTTGTTTTCCTTGGCCAACATTCAGATACCATAATATTAATCTTCCAAATTGGTAGACGGACATTGATGCACCACGGGTTTCAGTTATAGCCACTGCTCAGACTTCTTATGACAATGGTACCCCCTACCACATCAGTCCTGGAACATCCATGTCTTTCTCTCATGTATAAGTGGGATCATTGCTGTGCTCAAATCCCTGCATCCTCAATGGTCACCTGCCGCCCTCAAATCCACTATGATGATAACAGGTAACTTATTATTTTTGTAACATAAAACATGTGTCTGGAACATTGAGATTTTAGTGATGTTCATGCATTTATTGTTAGGCCTCCATCTTTTAAACTTGTACTATAAGAGGATGTAGATACAAATGTGTACGGTGAACATGTGTCGATCTTTCATGTAATAAAAAAATTGGGGCCTTACTTGATCGATATCATTGGATGCATAGGATCGATAACAATCTTTTTCCTTATATTTCTCTGCATATAGCAACTACCTATGACAACAACAGGATGCCAGTACGAAACATCCCAAAGGTTGCCGACCCTTTCGATTATGGAGCAGGTTTTATTAATCCAAACATGGCAGCTGATCTAGGGCTCATCTATGACATCGCTGCATCTAACTATCTCAAGTTCTTCAACTGCATCGGAGGATTAGCCACAGGGGACAACTGCACAACGGCGAAAAGATCACTTGCTGACCTAAACCTCCCGTCCATTGCCATCCCCAACCTCAAGACGTTCTAGACTGCAACCTGCATTCTCACCAATGTTGGCTAGGTGAAAATTGTGTACAAGGCATCGCTGCATCCGACTAGGGGTGAAAACGGAGCGAATACGGACGGATAATGCTCTTACCGTATCCGTTTTCATATTGTTAGGCGGATACGGAAACGAATACGAATTATCGCGGATACGAATAAGGATCGAATATGATCGGACACGAATACGAAAACGAATATTTCTCGGAATATAGAGACCACTCAAACTGCTCGTAGATACAAATGCACCACATATATTTATCTAATTTAATATAAATATCATCGTTGTAGGACGCATCACAGATTAAACAAAGTGTATCGTGTTCAAATCGAAACACGTTGAAAAGTTCAACACATATTGAGTTCGAGTTCTATAGGTAACACAGATAAGATCAAAATAGTAATTAGCCCAAAGCAATTTTCAGTACACTTGCAGTCCGATGCATGAAAACTGCAACATCATTATTCATCCATTTCATCCATCAGAACATCATCCTGTTCCATGTCATCATTATTCTCCTCTTTTTCCTACAGGAGTCGAATAATATTGTTGTTATATTAAGAAAAATATTCATAGAGGTAAAATAAGAAAATAGCTCACCACTATCAATAAGTTTGCCAGATGCCTCTCTACGCTTTCAATGTCCAACTCATTGATGATAGCCTGAGTCTTATAACCTAAGAATGATGCCAGATCAGATCATGGATCAGCTATACATATATTGATATATACAAGAAGGAATGGCCAAATAAGCAATTAACACAGACACAAAGTGTACCATTGTTAGCTGCTTTAATCCAATCTTTGGTGCAAACTAAAGCTTGCATAGCCTCTGGATCAAGACGGGTGCGAAATGGATCAACAACATGGCCACCAGCACTAAATGCCGACTCAGAAGCAACAGTTGACACTTGAATACATAAGAAATCACGAGCAAGTTTGCAGAGGATAGGAAATTCTGCTTGTTTGAGCTTCCACCAAGACAAAATATCAAATGTATCTTTGGAAGTCCATAGTAACAGTGGTTGTTCCATGTAAATTTGTAACTCGGTTTTATCACTACAAATTGGCTGACTTCTCTCAAGCAAAAATCTTTGAAAATGTTGCTCATGATCATGGCTACTGTCATTCTCATTAAAGATATCATCAAACTCATCAGTATTATGAACAGGATCAGATTGAATTTGAAGTTGATGCACATGCATTTCAGCACCTTTCTTCTTTGATGTTGCACACGCACTAGTAGCATAAACATCAAACAATTGTTTGATAACCCCATTGAACTCATCAAATTTTTCTGCAGCTTCTAAACCATAAATCTTCATACCATAGTACTCTATTGAACTTGTTTTGTAACGTGGATCAAGGAAGCATGCAACAGCAAGAGCCATATTTGACTTCTCCCAGTACTTATCATATTTAGTTTGCATGGCGTTTGCCATGGTTTTTATTGTTCTATCTGTACTGTTACACCAATCAGCAATATAAAGCTTGATGGAACAAAACTTACCGAAAAAATGATTTTGCTGTTGGATATGTAGTACCAGAGAATAGTTCAGTTGCTTCATGAAATGGCTTCAAGCACTTGCATAGTGCTATTGCCATAGACCAGTCTACCTTGGTGGGAGCACACTTTGCATACTTTCTACCATGCCGAAGAAATAACCTATCAAAAGCATTTCTGTAGTAGATAGCATTCTTCAACATGAGAAATGTGGAGTTCCATCTTGTAGGAGTATCCATGGAAAGGCCCTTTGTGTTATCCAAACTAACTTCCAAGGCACACTTCTGAAATGCCTCAAACTGCAGTGGCGAGTGCTTTAGAATTGAAATAGTATTTTTGATCTTTAATACAGCTCCTGTGATTTGTTTCAGACCATCTTGTGCAACAAGGTTCAAGATATGATTGAAACATCTCACATGAAAGAAGATGCCATCGCAAATTAAAGGAGAGATTTTACGGAGTTTTAAAATAACACCCTTAACACAAACATCATTAGACGATGCATTGTCCAAAGTAAGTCCAACAAGCCTTCTATCAAGATTCCAATCAACTATGCTGTCATAAAACTCTTTGCACATATTACTTCCTGAATGATGTCCTTCTACATGCATAAACTTAATGATCCTCTTTTGCATCTTCCAAGTGTCATCTATCCAATGAACTGTGATGCACATATAACTTTTATTTTGGTTAGATGTCCACATGTCCATGGTTGTGCTAAAACGGCATGAGAGTGTAAGCAAATGCTGCCACAATTTCTTCTTTTCCTCTTCATATATGTTTAGAATATCCTTTCTCACAGTAATGCGACTCTTAATTGGAAAAGTAGGGCGTAAAGACTTAATAAAATCCACAAAGTAATCATGCTCAACAATGTTAAAGGGATACTCATGCATGATGATTGCCATATAGAACTTTTTTAGGCTAACCGTCTCATCATACCTGTATGTCTCAACAGCTCCTTCAGTGCCATCTTCACTCTTTTTCATCTGTAGTTGTTGTTGACCTGACTTGATGTTGTGCTTGTTATTCAAGTGATTCCAGAAAACAGAAGTGCCACAATTACTCTCACACCGACGTTTATATGAGCACTTGTTGCATTTAGCATACTCCTCTACAATCACAGTGTCATCTGACCCTTTCTTGCTTACCTTATATTTAGTGTAGTGCTGCCAAACTTCAGAACTACACTTCTTTTGCTTCTTACCAGGAGGAGGTAAAACCTCAGAATCATCATTGGTTGTCAAATCAATTGCATCATTGTGTGCCAAGGCACCAGCAG